CGGCCCGTACGGGCTGCGCCAGGCCCGCGCGCGGCCCGTACGGGCTGCGCCAGGCCCGCGCGCGGCCCGTATGGGCTTCGCCAGGTCCGCGCGCGGCCGCCTGCGCACGCCGTCCCCCGAGCTGCTGACCGCGCCCCACCCCTGCTGCTGCCCGCGCTCCTGTTTTAGGGTTTGGGGGTGGCGAGTATGGGGGTGATAGGTGTGTGCGCCGTCCCCTGCTCCTCCTCCTCCTCCGGCTCCCACTGCTGCAGCTGCCGCTGAGGGGGGTGGGTGTGTTGGAGCCGTCGGAGTGGTACTAGGGGGGTGGCGTGTGAGCAGTGCTAGAGGTACAGCAGAGGGTGTGTGAAAGGGTTTTGGGACAGCTGGAGGAAGTTGAGTGGAGGCAATCGTCTTGTCGTCCGCAGCGCCTGAAGTCCAGAGAGCCACGACCCCCTGTGGCCTGAGTAGTCCGGGGCTCTGCGCCCGGTAGCCACAGTGTGAGCACTCCTAGTAGTCCAGAGAGCCACGACCCGCTGTGGCCTGAGTAGTCCGGGGCTCTGCGCCCGGTAGCCACAGTGTGAGCACTCCTGGGAGCACAGCGAGCCAGCTGCGCCTGTCGCCGTGTAGTCCGGGTTTAGCCTGGTAGCGTCAGTGCTGCGCACTCCTGGTGCCCGTGTGTCTGCAGCTTCAGCCGTCGCCTCCCATCTTCTCGCCCCCACAGTTTTTCCTCCTCCTCACTTGCCCTCTGTGATAGTCTCTAGCTTTGCGTATCATTGTGAACTATTGCTATGCCTGCTTGTTGTGCTGATTATACCCCACTTTGACTATGGGGGTGTGTCAGAATGTTATGTTTGTCTAGCCTGCAGTGGGGTACTCTATAGTGAGTACAACCCAAACTAGGGTTTCCTATATGTATCCTACCTACTGCTAGTGCAAAACCCTCTTTGCGTGTTTCTCGTTTTCGCCTGCTATCTTGACAGTTCGATGCATGACAGATGAGCCTATGGACTAGTTTCAAAACCTTTAAAGGCTGTTAACGTTCAAGAATTCAATGAATGATGGTTGGTCCAAAAAAAAAAAAAAAATACCACTTTCTGTCTTTTGTGGGTGCCTTGCTTGCCAACTGTTGCCATTACCGTAGTGAATAAGCTATTCAGCACCATGGTTGTGTACATCCATCTGACACTGGTGGTGTTCTGCTGTGTACTTCATGCGTTGTACTCGCGGTTAGAAAGATACTCCGTAACAGCAGCTATCATATTGGAGCAAAGAAAAGGAGGTAAGAATTGAAACTGTTTTACAGAATTTACTCTGATTGTATCGGGAGGGTTTACAAGTTCTTTTCCCTTCGTGTTTACAAGTTCTTGTCGCTGAAGCATGATAATAGCGGGCAGCCGACGCGGCCGAATACTGGGCGTCCCCAATTCTGCCCTGAAAGTCTTTTACGGGCCGGAATGACGAAGAGTTCGTTGGCAAATCGTCTCAAAAGATAGTCCCTCAGGCCCATCTCCGCTCTACAGCTGGCCTACAGTTGCGTTCTAGCTACTGTATCAAATGTATTTGACCTTTGAAAGGAAAATGAAATGGGTGGTTCGCATTCAAACGGTGCGAAAGTGAAGTTGTGTTGAACCGGGCCAACAACCACCCCCTACAAATTCGTCCCGCGCTGCCCTTTCTGGCCTTGCTTCCTCCTCACCTCATTCCTCCACATGGCCTCCCACCAACTTTCTCCAGCGCAGTTGCCAATAGTCGCAAGCAGGATTTGCTGGCCGTACGCATCTCTGCGTACTGTACAACATGGCTCCCCCACCACCCCTCCGGTCACCTCTGAGGGAGAGGGGAATGGTCGGAGGGACAAGGCGGTGCAGCCATGGCCCGTGTGTCTGGGTCTGGGCTCGTGCGCCGAAGCCTCGTCATGTTGTCCCTCGCAATCGCAAGAATGGCGAAATGCATGGATGCATGGATGATAGCACAATACACCTTCGCCAGTCGCCACCCAAGCCGCCGTCGGAATCTACCCCGCAATATCTCATGTTGCAAGCCCTAGCGCGCAGCGGCGAATGAATCAGAGGCCGTTCTCCCTCGCGGACCGTTCCTTCCCACCTCGGCGTGCCGCGCTGCTCTGCGATCTTGAACCGCTCCTTCTTCCTTCTCGCTCGCCCTGCAAATGGTCAAGGTGTTATCCCAACGCACGACCTAGTTTTGTTGAATTCCCGTAGGATATCTAGAGGGTTATCACGTTCACAAGGAGTATGAGTAATTGACCCGTTCTCGCAAGCATAGCGCGCCGAGCACAGCGTGACGCCCTGCGCCCTTCAAGCTGGAGGGGATCGCAAGCTGATGGGCTCGTCGACGTAGATTCGCCACGTTTCCTCCTTTCTAACTCGATCTCACCATTGCCATCACCCTCGCGTCGCACACGACAGCCCCGCGGCTCGCTGACGCCGCAATTCAATCCTGCGCGTGCAGCTGCGCGGCTGGTTGCATTCGAATCTCCGCGTCTTCTGCCACTCACTTGCCAACTCCAGCGCGCCTGACCGTTCACGTTCCAATCCATCCGCGCACCGTCGCATGGCTCGCGCTCCGCCGTCGCGCACGGCGTCCGCGTGGCGGGACACGGCGCTGCTGCTCGTCGCGCGCTGCTCTCGCTCGCGCGCTGCACCGCACCCCGTCTCGCTGCCCGCTGTCGCCGCCGCACCAGGTGCGCGTAGGGCACTGAATTCGTCGGTCGAGTCGCCCAACGTGCGCCACATGCGCTTTCCCCATAAGCTTTTCCCCTCATGCACATGAATTCATTCACAGCAGCATGGATGAGCCGGCGTTATGCGGTGCAGTGTGGCGGGCCTCGGCGTGGCAGCACGTGGCTGCACGTGGTTGCACGTGGTTGCACGTGGTTGCACGTGGCTGCACGTGGCTGCACGTGGTTGCACGTCACTGCGCCGCTGCCGTTGAGTGCACCGCGCTCCATAGTGCTCCCCTCCCCCGCCCTGTTCCCCTCCCCCCCCCGGCCCTGCTTGACTACACTCCCCCGGCCAACTGCACGCCCTTGCACCCTTGCCCCATCGCTGCCCGCGTGCCCCTTTCCTTCCGCCACCACGCCATGTCCATGCGTGCCTTTTCGAACCCCCCTCAATCTAACCCGCCCTTTTTCCCTTTCCCGCTTCCCCTGCACCCGTCCCCCCATTTCCCCCTTTCCCCGCCATACGCGTGTCCCTGCCAGCGACCCCAGGCGCGACGCGCAACAGCTTCTACCGCTACCACTACCACGTGCGCCGCCTCCCGCCCTTCCTGCGCAACCACCTCGCGCGCGCTCAAGGGCAAGGGGGAGGGGGGCCCGGAGGGGGCGGAGGAGGAGGAGAGGGGAGCAGCTCTGTGCGGGCTGCGAGCATTGCGAGCAGCGCCGATGAAACGATCGTCCTCACCAGCAGCAGCAGCAGCGGCAGCAGCAGCGGCAGCAGCAGCGGCGGCGGCGGCAGCAGGAGCGGGGCTTTAGGCGGCATAGGTGGCGGCGGAGGGGGAGCGGGCGCCAGCGCGTACGAGCGGTGTGCAGGCCGCCATGGCCGCGGCGAAGACGCGCAGCAGCGCGTGGGGCAAGCAGATGCGCGGGCGCGGGCGGACGGGCAAGAAGCAGCCATGGGTGGATGTGTCGTGGGCCAATCACAGGCCGCTGGCGCAGGTGTACGAACCTGATTGGCCCGCCAGCGCGCAGGAGGCGGGGATGACGGCGGACGGCGGAGGGGCGCGGGCAGTGGCGCGTGGCCGTTCGCTGAGCCGCGTGTCAGCCCCCAGGCCATCAGTGAGTGGCGCGGGGGAAGGGGGAACAGGGGGAAAGCGGGGAGAGGGAGGGGAGGGGGCCAAGGGGTTTAGAGTGAAGCGTGGGGAAGGGTGGAGGAGGGGGGATGGAATGTGCGTGGGTGGCGAGGCGAGGCTGGAGTGCGGGTGATTGCGTGGGATGCTGTGGGGGGCGTGGGTTGCTGTGGGGGCGTGGGTTGCTGTGGGGGGGAGTAGTGTGGTGTGATGTGATGTCATGTGTTATGTCGTGTGGTGTGACGTGAGTTGTGATTGTCATGCCATCCCACACCCCCCACGCCTCCCCTAACCCCCACCACCCCTACAGGGCGGCAGCCACCATCCACTGGCCTGCCATGCACGCCGCTCACGGCAGCGGTCATCATCGCAGTCTCCTCGGAGGACGACTTCCCCCTGCGCCTGCAGTACCCGCCCACCACCACCGTGGTGCTGGAGCTGCAGAACCACATTCTCCTCACGGCGCCGCTGCTCTTCAACGCGTCCTTCGCCTGCACCGTGCTGCGCTCCGCGCCCCGCCCCCTGCGCGGCTTCCAGCTCACGCTCATGCGCACGGACGCACCGCTGCTGTGGGTGGCGGGCGCCAGCAACGTGCTCGTGCTGCGCGTGTCCTTCTTCCAGCCATATGCCATCGACACTGCGGCCTGCCAGGGGATACCGTACATGGGCACGGATGTCATCTGCCCCGCCATCCACATCTACCAGGTGACGCCACGCGCTTCTGCCCTGCCACCATTTCCCCCCGACCAGCCATGCCATATGTGCGAGGCGTCACGGTTTTGAGACGCCCGAGAGTCGTTCGCCTGCCCCCACCAGCCATGGCACGCAGGTACCCAAGAACGGCAGCGCATGTGCAGGTGGCATGGGCACGGTTTAGGGGTGCATGGACGGCACTGCTCGGTGGCATCACGAGCGCACGCATGCAATGACGACCCGCACGCTCGGGCCCGCTGTTTGCCCCTCATCGACCCTTAGGCGCATCAGCGATCAGCACAGCAGCCACCTAACGTGCTTGCTCCTACTCCTCTCCCCACTGCTCGCTCCCCCCCCACCAGTCAGCGAACGTGCAGGTGGCACGCGGCACGGTGTACGGGCGCATCGACGTGATGTGGTCAGTGGCAGTGCGCGTGGACGGCATGAGGGTCACAGGTGTGGGCGACTTCAAGCGCGGCCAGGGGCTCATCCGCGTCGCCTTCTGTGGCCACGGCCCCACCATGCAGCGCAGCCAAGTGGTTATCAGCAACAACGAGGTCTTTGGTGCGTCACTGCATGCTGCTGAGAGAGAGATTTCTGGGTTGGCCAGGCGAATGGTGCATGTGGGCATGAGTAGTGCCCTTGACTTGGACTATGTGCTCCTTATTCCGCCCCGTGCCCTCCTCTTTCCGCCACCCACCCATGCCTTCCCTCCTGCGTGGTCGCACGCCCCGGTGGTGCTATGAGCAGCAGCAGGAGTGAAGTGCCGTGGTGCGCGAGGTGGCTGACTGCTCATCGTCCTCCTCATGCACGCCTCACGCCACCTCTCCTCCCTTCTCCCCCTTCCCCTCCGTATCCTCTCCCTCCCTTCTCCCCCTTCCCCTCCGTATCCCTCTCCCTCCCTTCTCCCCCTTCCCCTCCGTATCCTCTCCCTCCCTTCTCCCCCTTCCCCTCCGTATCCTCTCCCTCCCTTCTCCCCCTTCCCCTCCGTATCCTCTCCCTCCCTTCTCCCCCTTCCCCTCCGTATCCTCTCCCCTCCTTCTCCCCCTTCCCCTCCGTATCCTCTCCTCCCTTCTCCCCCTTCCTCCCCTCCGTATCCTCTCCCTCCCTCTCCCCTTCCCCTCCGTATCCTCTCCCTCCTTCTCCCCCTTCCCCTCCGTATCCTCTCCCTCCCTTCTCCCCCCCTTCCCCTCCGTATCCTCTCCCTCCCTTCTCCCCCTTCCCCTCCGTATCCTCCTCCCTCCCTTCTCCCCCTTCCCCTCCGTATCCTCTCCCTCCTTCTCTCCCCCTTCCCCTCCGTATCCTCTCCCTCCCTTCCCCCTTCCCTCCGTATCCTCTCCCTCCCTTCTCCCCCCCTTCCCCTCCGTATCCTCTCCCTCCCTTCTCCCCCCTTCCCCTCCGTATCCTCTCCCTCCCTTCTCCCCCTTCCCTCCGTATCCTCTCCTCCCTTCTCTCTCCCCCTTCCCCTCCGTATCCTCTCCCTCCCTTCTCCCCCCTTCCCCTCCGTATCCTCTCCCTCCCTTCTTCTCCCCCTTCCCCCGTATCCTCTCCCTCCTTCTCTCCCCCTTCCCCTCCGTATCCTCTCCCTCCCTTCTCCCCCTTCCCCTCCGTATCCTCTCCCTCCCTTCTCCCCCTTCCTCCCTCCGTATCCTCTCCCTCCCTTCTCCCCTTCCCCTCCGTATCCTCTCCCTCCCTTCCCCCCTTCCCCTCCGTATCCTCTCCCTCCCTTCTCCCCCTTCCCCTCCGTATCCGCTCCCTCCCTCCCTTCTCCCCCTTCCCCTCCGTATCCTCTCCCTCCCCCCCCTTCTTCTCCCCCTTCCCCTCCGTATCCTCTCCCTCCTTCTCCCCCTTCCCCTCCGTATCCTCTCCCTCCCTTCTCCCCCTTCCCCTCCGTATCCTCTCCCTCCCTTCTCCCCCTTCCCCTCCGTATCCTCTCCCTCCCTTCTCCCCTCTCCCCCTTCCCCTCCGTATCCTCTCCCTCCCCTTCTCCCCCTTCCCCTCCGTATCCTCTCCCTCCCTTCTCCCCCTTCCCCCTCCGTATCCTCTCCCTCCCTTCTCCCCCTTCCCCTCCGTATCCTCTCCCTCCCTTCTCCCCCCTTCCCCTCCGTATCCTCTCCCTCCCTTCTCCTCCCCCTTCCCCTCCGTATCCTCTCCCTCCCTTCTCCCCCTTCCCCTCCGTATCCTCTCCCTCCCTTCTCCCCCTTCCCCTCCGTATCCTCTCCCTCCCTTCTCCCCCTTCCCCTCTCCGTATCCTCTCCCTCCTTCTCCCCTTCCCCTCCGTATCCTCTCCCTCCCTTCTCCCCCTTCCCCTCCGTATCCTCCTCCCTCCCTCTCCCCCTTCCCCTCCGTATCCTCTCCCTCCCTTCTCCCCCTTCCCCTCCGTATCCTCTCCCTCCCTTCTCCCCCTTCCCCTCCGTATCCTCTCCCTCCCTTCTCCCCCCTTCCCTCCGTATCCTCTCCTCCCCTCTCCCCCTTCCTCCCTCCCCCTTCCCCTCCGTATCCTCTCCCTCCCTCTCTCCCCCCCTTCCCCTCCGTATCCTCTCCCTCCCTTCTCCCCCTTCCCCTCCGTATCCTCTCCCTCCCTTCTCCCCCTTCCCCTCCGTATCCTCTCCCTCCCTTCTCCCCCCCTTCCCCTCCGTATCCTCTCCCTCCCTTCTCCCCCTTCCCCTCCGTAGCCTCTCCCTCCCTTCCCCCCTTCCCCTCCGTATCCTCTCCCTCCCTTCTCCCCCTTCCCCTCCGTATCCTCTCCCTCCCTTCTCCCCCTTCCCCTCCGTATCCTCTCCCTCCCTTCTCCCCCTTCCCCTCCGTATCCTCTCCCTCCCTTCTCCCCCTTCCCCTCCGTATCCTCTCCCTCCCTTCTCCCCCTTCCCCTCCGTATCCTCTCCTTCCCTTCTCCCCCTTCCCCTCCGTATCCTCTCCCTCCCTTCTCCCCCTTCCCCTCCGTATCCTCTCCCTCCCTTCTCCCCCTTCCCCTCCGTATCCTCTCCCTCCCTTCTCCCCCTTCCCCTCCGTATCCTCTCCCTCCCTTCTCCCCCTTCCCCTCCGTATCCTCTCCCTCCCTTCTCCCCCTTCCCCTCCGTATCCTCTCCCTCCCTTCTCCCCCTTCCCCTCCGTATCCTCTCCCTCCCTTCTCCCCCTTCCCCTCCGTATCCTCTCCTCCCTGCCCATCCTTGCCGCCATCCCCCCAGGAGCGCGGTTCCCCATAGTGCTCTACTTTGGCGCGGTGGGGGTGACGGTGAGCAACAACTACGTGCACGACTTTGTGTTTGCGGGCATCGTGTGCGGCGCGTTCGTGTCGTACGTGGGCGACTGCATGCTGGCTGTCATCGCCAACAACCTGGTGGTGGCGACGGGGCGCAACATCAGTGGCGACATGGACGCCTCGGGGATCTACTTCAACACCCACTGGTTCAACCCCGGTGAGGTTCCACGCACTGCGCAGTTATTGAGTTGACTCAACAGAAGACCTGGTGAGGCTCACTGCACTGCGCAGTCAGCCCCGGTCAGTGCCGTGTCGTGTCAAGCCATGGTGCCCGCAGGCTCACTACTGTCGCCACGACCATGCTCTGCCCTTAGCCGTGCATTCTCTCTAACTCATACCTTCTTCTCAGGCGCCCCAAGTGAATCGACTCTGTTTCTCTTACCCGCCTCCTTCCCCCAGCCCCCAACAAGGGGCAAGTGAGCGGAGTGCAACCATGTGATGGGTGGCCATCAGTGCTGCTCCCTTCTTCTTGTGCGTCACTTCCCTGGCCCTCCTCTCTCTCTCTCTCCCCCTCTCCCCACCCCACGACATCAGGTAACCTATCAGAGTGCAACTACGTGATCGGCGGGGGCACTGCTACCACCTCCTTTCCACACCCCCCCCTGCTTTCCACAGAACTCGGCTCAACCACCATGCATGCATGTCCGCCACCCTCCCCTGTCCCCTCCCCCCCCAACATCAAGCAACCTAGCGGAGTGCAACTATGTAATTGCCAGCGACTAGTGCTTCCACCGTCTCACGCGCCTCACGTGTTATCCCTTCTCTTCCTCCTCCTTCCCTCCCCCCTCCCCTCTCCCCTCCCCCCCCCGACATCAGGCAACCTAGCGGAGTGCAACTACATAATCGGCGGCGACCAGTGCTACTACCTGGACTTTGCATCGTCGGGTGTCACCATCCGCGGGGGCGCGTGCATCGACACGTACGCGGGCATGAAGGTCAACAACGGCAAGAGGTAACATGGCACGGGCATAGTGTGAGTGGCAAGGGAGTGCTTGGAGGGTGGGAGTTCAGCAGTTTGGAGAACGTCTCTGTCATGGTTATTACCCTCTTGCCAGTCGCTCTGCACTGCATTCAGTCACATTAGTATACTGCAGTCACTACTTATAGTCACTGGATGCATTCATGCAGTCATGCACCCTATCAGATTCCCACAATTCATTCTCAACTTTTCCCTCTGCGCCCACACCCCATGGGCACGGGCAGCAACGGGATAGAGGACGTGGTGGTGAAGAACACGCGGTGGACACCCGGGTGGAGCACGTGTAATTACGAAACGTCTCACACCGCCCCCTGTTGTTCTCATTTCACCCACCCTCCTTCCTCCCCTCACCAACCCAACAGCAACGTGATAGAGGACGTGGTGGTGAAGAACACGCGGTGGACGCCTGGGTGGTCGACATGCCTGACAGCGGAGGTGGTGAACTGCGGCAAGAAGCCCGGGTCGTACTGGGAGCAGATGCGCCGCAAGTACTACAACTCGTCCACCTTCAACCAGGTGCGTGCATGTCAGCTGCACCCCCGCAGCACCCTTCTCCACTCGTTCACTCTCTATTGATCCACCACACTCCCCATCGCGCAATCCCTTAGCGTGCACGCACAGCCATCACAGGGCCTCCATTGTCTGCCATCTCGTCTCACACGCCCTCCATCGCTCCCTCTCCCTCTGCTCCACACTCTTCTCTTCACACCACCCGCTCCAACCCCATGTGCACATCAGAACTGGCCGTGGATGCAGACGGTGTGCTCAGAAACCAGCATCAACGGCATTCCGTGCAACACCAACGCCAAGGGCACGCTCAACGCCACGCAGACGGGCAAGTGCAGCGGGCTGCCCACGCGCAACTCGCTCATGCTGGTGCTGGTGAACGTACTCAACTACGACATGGACTTCAAGTACTGTGAGGACCTGCCCAACACGCCGCGCATCAACTCGCATCGCTACATCAATGTTACCAACGTCGCCGACGCGCAGTTCCTGGATTTCGTGGAGGACGATCTGGGCGTGAGAAAGGGGTCGTCGCTTTACAAGGCCCGCCCGAATTTCAAGAGCTGCCCGAGAAGCAATGTTGGGCCGAAAAAGCTTTTGGAAAGGTCTTATTATGAGAGCTTCAATAAGGCTATTCCGGATGTTTATTATGTAACATTAGGTATGGGGACCTTGCATATCCATGATCCGACCCTTCTCGTGAGCGATAATAAAATGGGTAAATAGCCATGTGAGATATTGTACGTATTTGTACATTCATGCGAGCATTGCTGTATAACAAGACCTGTTGTACATACCATACAAGGCACATCAGCCATACTTGATACCTAGTTTGTCAAACGGGCCCGAAAGCCCTGCTAGGTGGGTGCCGCCGTACAGGCGCGTCCCATACCGTATCTTCACCACGCACCGCGCAAGGCACAAGGGCCATTGGTGAGCGTTGCGCTGCGCTCAGTCAAGTGGGTGGCCGTGGTCCGCACACTGGTAGAGGCGCGCTGCACGGATGTGGTGCAGCACTGCGTCTGGCACGAGGTACTTGGCTGACAGCCCCTGCTGTAACAGCCGCCTGCACACACGCACACAGGCACACGAGGGGCATGGCATGGGTGCAGTGCGGTGGAGTGAGTCCAAGTGATGAGGTGCAGGGAGGGGTTTGACTAAGACTGGCGATGAGGCAAGCGCAAGGGCACAGCAAGGGAAAGCGTAAGGGCAAGGCAGGCATAGTGGGTACTCAAAATGCTCACGGTAATTGAAGTGCAAAACGAAACATGGCTGTAAATTAGAGTGAGTGAGGTGGGTTAGGGAGGTATGAATTTGATTACAGTGCAAGGGTGCAAAAGAGATGGTGACAGGTGCAAGCGGGCAAGGGGGGGTTCATGGGGCGGTGCGGAGAAGGAGCGAGGCGCAACGGGGTGCAAATGGGGAGAGGGGGTACCGGATGTGGGAAGAGCTGACGTTGTTCTCTATAGGCTGATCCACTATAAGGATGTTGTGCTGGTAGGGGCACGGGGGAAGGAAGGTGACACGATGGAAGAGGCGGGTGAGGAGGCAAGGGAGGATGCGTGTGGACTAAAGTGCCCGATGTCAGCATGGCCCCTGCATCTGCTCACACCAGGATTGTTTCGACTGTGCACTGTAAAGGAAGGGTGCTAGGAGGACAGCACGAGTGCATGCACACAGATGCGCTCAGCCACAGCACTGTGGTCATGGAAAAGTGTGAGAGCAGGCGTATGCTTGCACACACCACGCAATCACTCACACCCGGAGACTCTCAGTCCCACTTGCACGCATGTACATACACTTTTTCTTCCCTCTCGCCGCCACTTCCTCCCTCTCTTCTCCTCTCTCCCACACTTCCTCTCCCTCTCTCACCCATTTCCTCTCTCCCTCTCTTCCCGACCTCCACTCTCCCTCTCTCCCTGTCCTGCTCCCTTCCTCCCTCCCTCACTCGTTCCCTACGTTCTGTGATCCCTTGCTCCCTCACTCCCCCTCTCCTCTCCCACACCACACACTCCCTCAGACCCCTGCAACGGACTCACGCGGTGGCGGTGCAGCAGGTGAGAGTGCAGCAGGAGGCGGTGAGCATCAGCGCCATGCCGCGCAATGCACACCACACCGTGCGCCCCCACCACCTCCTCCACCTGCCATGCCATGCCATGCCATGCCATGCCATGCCATGCCATGCCATGCCATGCACCCAGGGATGGCGGCGTGGGGCAATGGGGGCACTGCGATGGGGGTTATTGGGGGGGTGGTGAGGGGTCGGTTTGCAAACAGCATGGCTCACATGGGAACGGTGAGACGCATGGGTGGCAAAGGCGCAGTAATATGCGATGACAACCATGCCGTGCTACTACACTGCATAGCATTGCATACCACACTATACCAAGCCAAATCATACAATACCACACCACGCCACACCAGACCATGCCATGCCATGCCATGCCATGCCATGCCATACCATACCATACCATACCATACCATACCATACCATACCATACCATACCATACCATACCATACCATACCATACCATACCATACCATACCATACCATACCATACCATACCATACCATACCATATCATACCGTACCATACCATACCATACCATACCATACCATACCATACCATACCATACCATACCATACTACCACACCACACTATAGTCCAAGCCATGCCATACCACACCATCCCACGTCGCGCTAAGGCGTACTATGCCATACAGCACCATATCATACCATACACTATCATACCACACCACACCACAACACACCACACCACACCACAACATGCCATGCCATACCAGGCCATCCCATGGCGTGCCAAGGTGAAGTATGCCATACCACACATACCATATCATACCGTGCAAGGACAGTGCTACTCACATGGGAGGGCACCCACACGCCCGGGTGGGTGAAGGACTCAAGAAGGTCCGCCCCGCACACCAGCATCACCTGCACCCTCGCCCCCTCTCCCTGCTGCCCCTCCGCTGCCTCTACCCCTTGCCCACCCACTCCTCCGCCCCTCTGCCTCATCTCGCCCGTCACTCCACTCGCCACCACGCCCATCAAATGCCTCTCGCCCTCTTCTCTCCTCGATTCCCCCGCGCCGCTCACACCCTGTCCCCCATCGACCTCTCCCTCCATTCTATTTCCTTCCCCGCCCCCCTGCCCTCCTTCCGCGCCTCCCCCCTGCCCGCCCGCGCCCCCAGCAGCAGTGGGCAGCAGCGAGGGGGACTCCGCCATGGCGCGCTCAAGCGCCCACATGTGGGCGTGCAGAGGCGCGTTTGGGTGTGGGAATGATGGGGAGGGTGGGTGTGGATGTGAAGGTGTTGGGAACGGTGGGTGTGGGGCCGCCTGGTGCGAGGGCGCGTGTGGGGCAAGTGGGGATGTGGGTGACTGGTTTCCCAGCGATGCTTTGGAGTGCATGGGAGGCAATGGGTGGGCGGAAGAGGATGGAGGTTGGGCGGCAGAGAAAGGAGCTTGGGAGGTAGAAGAGGGCGTTGGAGCAGCGGGAGGATTGAGTGTGTGGTGCAGTCGGCGCAGCACACAGAGTGTGCGCTGGTAGCACTGCTGGGACGACTGCACACCGGCACCACGGGGACACACAGAGGTGGGGGGCACAGAGGACGTGGAGAGAAGCGGATGGAAGTGTGAGGAGCGGTAGCAGGAAGGAATGAAATTATGGGGGAATGAAAAGAGATAACAGCAAAAAGCATATGAGGAAATGAACATGGATGGTCGGAAAGGAGAAAAGAGAGAGCGTGGAGATTCAAAGGAATGTTGCACTGCTTTGCCAGGTGTTGTGTCGCAGGTGGAAGAGGGCGAGAGACGATGCACAGCTTGACTTCACACGCTGCCAGCAACAGTACCGCCATACATGCATGTGCAGGGATGCATGAATGGAGAGAGGAAGAGACGTGTGGGAGGTCACAAGTGGGCGACACGCCAAGCCCACACTCAAGCACACACGCACCTCCCAGGGATCCACCATGATGAAAGGCGAATCAGCGCATGCCAGCTGGCACATTGCCACCCGCTCCTTGGCGGGGGCAAGGCCCTGAGGGGTGAGCGTGAAGCGAGAAGGTGGAAGGGAGCATGGGAAGGATGGAGAGGGGGGAGTGGCAGAAGGTCCACGAAAGCATTGGGAGGGCGACACGGGAGCACATGGCGAGAATCAGCAGCAAATGGTGGGCAGCCATGGCTATGACATGCATGGTGGTGAGATGCATGCATGGTAATGAGATTCATGGTAATGACATGCATGGTAACGATGCATCGCAAGAAGACATGCTGATGCCCGCATGCATGCCACTTTTCCACTCTCGTTACAAGCGCACCTGTTTACCGTACTGGTCATTGACTGGTGACATGTACGCACCAACCACGTCCCACCCACGGTCCTGCAGGGCATCGCGCGCCATCTCTGCAGGCAGAGGGGGAGGGAGGCGCGAGGGCCAGCAGGGGTTTCCAGCACACAGCTCAACTGAACAAACCCAACAAGTAGTTATGTCCTAGCCATGGCCTGTTTTTTGAATCCTGGGAGGTTACGGGATTGACAAGTGGTTGGCGGATGCGGGGGACAGGGAACAAGTGGCAGTGAGTGTGTGGAAGCACGCAGGACTGGTGAGCTTTCACATGCATGGCGTGGCATTGGTGGTGAGAGTCTAGTGAGCTGAGCTCCCCCACATGACATGAGCGATCTGGCATGGACGGAAAGGAAGGAAGCACCGACCTCCACCCCCACGGCCAAGTCCTTTCAAGCCGATAGCATGGTGGCTGGGTGGATCCGGCCAAGTCCTTCCATTCCAAGGCACACCATGGTGTCAAGAGTACCATCAACTACTGATCGCTTTCTTGCACAAAAGATGAAAGCGGATGGCTCTCTGTCATGTCACCTGAGCTGACTCCCTGTGGACCCCCCCCCCTCCCCCCAACACTCCCACCTACCCAGCATCCTCAGGTGCATGATCGTGGGTGGGTTGAAGCTTCCAGGAAGCAGCAGCACTGCCTGGGGATGGTCGCCAGGTGGCTGGCCTTTGAACAGCGAGGTGCCGCTGGCGTCTGTCGGCCTTGCCACGTGGCACATGAGCTTGTCTAGCGGCAGGGGCACGTGAAGAGTGCCTGATGTGCCGCACGCATGAGGGGGAGAAGAGGCGCACGGGATGGTAAGTCAAAAGGCAGGGTGGGAAGCAGGGCCTGCGCGGGAGCAGGGAGAGGAATAAGAGGGATTCTTGGGGGGGCGGAGAAGGGAAGCCGCATTATTGGGTAAATGATGTTCATCCGAACGACATCATTTGTGACATCAATATTATTTGGCCTACCAGCCAAAAAACACCGCCATACGCAAAAGAACAGCTCAGGCGCGTGCCGCTACGATTTGATTCGGGCTCACGACGCTAGGAGCTAGATTCACGGCTTGAGACGACTGGCCATGATTCCAAGTCAACGGTCGTGATTCGACCTCATTTCGCGCGAGTTGAAAGCCACACCCACCGCATGTCAGCTCTGCACAGGGACCCCTGCCGCTAAAGCCGCCGCTGTCGCTGAGATCCCTCGCGCCATCGCCGTCGCGGCTCGCCTTCTGATCATTCTGTTCGTCCGTGGCTGCCGCTGGCGCTGCGGACGATCTTGCCGGAGCTGCTTCTAACGAGGCTGATGCTGCAGCCGCGGCGACACACGCTGTGGCGGCTGCAGCGGCGCGCAGTGCGGGGAGGCGAGATCGGAGCATCGAGGCGAAGGCGGCAGCCATCGCGGTCTCTGGAAGGACGGAGAGGAAGATGGAACAACGTGGAACTGTACCGCAGGTTTACTAACGGGCTGTGCTGCTGCTGGTGTCCGTGCCGTGGCGTGGAAGAGCTCGACTCGATGTGTGAGGCCGCTGCCCGTATGAAAAGGAGGTCAGACAAGGTGAAGTCTCCAAAGAGCCGAGCAAATGATTGCGTCACGACTCACGCAAGCCAGAAAGTAGGTTCCGATATAAACCCTATGCTGGGAATCTACGAGTTTACCATAAACATAGCTCAAAGTGATTCATACATCAAGTTTCACATGCGAATATTCACTATGTGCAGTACTAATCCGAAAGGAATTGACACGTGCCATTAGTGTTTGTTACCCTAATATTTATTCCAGACTGCAAATCTACAGAAAAGGGTAACAAAACATGAGGGTTAATCCCCCTGCTAAGAAGGATGTCAAAATAAACGAGCCGTCAGTGGCACACAGGTTGCAGTGGCTGCGCTCTGAGAGCATCGAAGTCGAGACTCGAGTCGAGGTCCTCGTCCAACTCACCCACCACCGCTCTGCATTGCATTGCGTTGCGTGCGGGTAGGAACACACGGAATGGGCAGAGGACAGAGAACAGGGTGAGGGAATCGGGGTGGTAAAATAGAACAGCTGAGGAAAAGGCAGGAGGTACAAAGGTGGATAGGAAAGTGGAGGGTAGGGGAGAGATGGAGAAAGGCACGACGGAGGTGGAAGTGTGAGGAAGGGGTACTGGATCAGCATGAGTGGGGGGAGCTTTGCCAGCGCAATGGCGCACTCCTGTCCCCATCATCCTTCCTTCCATGTCCCATCACCCTCCCATGTACCCATCACCCTCTCATGCCCCTCCCAAGTCCCCACCACGCTCCCATGACCTTCCCATGTCCCCATAGGGTCATAGCCCCCGGCCCTCCCAAGCCCCGCACATGTTATCGCCGCGGATGATGTAGAGGCCCAGCACCAGCTGCTCCACGCCATGCTGCACAGCGGAGAAGAGACATGTGCAAGTACGCGCAGGGCACAGGGAGGCTTTTCTGAGGCGCCGCAATTCAACACTGCCAGCTGCTAGTGCGCACCAAGGCACCACTGCTCGCTGCAGGGAGGTATGCGAGAGACGTGAGGGAATCGTCAAAGAGAAATGGGGCTTCTTGATTTGTCTGGTACAAATACAGAGGTAATGGGAGAGGAAGCAAAGGAATGGCGTGTAGGCAGAAAGCATGAGAGAATGCAGGATCTGAGAAATTATGGCTTGGCAGTCAAATGTGGAGGACTTGTGCAGAGGCAAGGCACTGACAACTGAGGGCAAGGCAGGGCGACATGCGAACGGGAAATGAAGCAGACCAAGGGTAAAAGAAGGGCAGGGAGCATGAGGATGGCTCAGACAGACAGAACATCATGAGGAACAGAGGGTGGATGCCGTGAAAAAAAGGATACAGGGCATGAACAGGCATGGGGCTGCTGTGGGAGTGAAGATGGATGGCGGGTGGGAGGTGGTCTTGCCTTGGTGGAGTAGACGCGCTCGTGTGACTCGTCCAGGATGATGTTGGTCGCCTGGTCAAACCCCTTCAGCACCCCCTGCAACACGAGGGGCGCATGGGAGGTGTGATGTGGGGATGCACGTGCAGACAAGACATTGCCAGGTTCAGGTGGAAAGGCGAATGTGGCTAAGAAAAGCAAGGCTGACAACTCCAGCAGCAGTGTTGTAAAAGTTTGAAATTCCCCGAGAAATCCTAATAAAACAGGTGGGGTTGGACTTCGACAGAGCACGCTCCCACTCACCACGATGTTCCGGCCATCATTGGTTATCACCGACACAGTCACTGCATCCGCGCATGGCAGAGACACCACTCCTCCTCCTCCCCTCCGCAAACGCCGACCACCCCCTCCCCAAGCTCTCCATCCCCTCCCCACGTTCCCCACCCCCTCAAGCCCCCCACAGCCCCCTTCCTCCCCACGCCACACCGTCCAGTAGCCCCCGGCCAGCACGCAACAGCAACCACACGAGCACATGCACCAGCGGCACACGCACACACGCACGTTAGCTACGCGTCTATTCACTCACGATAGGAGTCGCGTACAAAAGTGGAGGGAAGAAAAAAAGAGGGCGGGCACGGGGGGGTGAACTGGTCAGTTGCGGCGCGAGCGAATCACGGAATTGCGGAAGCAGGGGAGCAAGGAAGCGGCGAAGGGAGCGACTCACGGTCTACGTATGGCTCGAGGCCCGTCTCCTTCCCCTCCTTCCCCGCCATTCCGCAGGTATATGCGCAGCCGGTCAGCAGGTAGTTCGCAGCACGGCCGCTCGACGGTCAGCCGGCCAGCAGTTATGCTGAACCGCTAAGCAGGTAAGCCGCTGAGCTGCAGAATCCTCGTAACGAGCCGCGAAGGGAATTCTAAGTCGCGGTTGAGCCTACGATGAGATTAGACGTTGGGAAATTTGAGGCACTTTGGACTGCTAGAGCAACGGCAAGCTCAGGTTAGTAATTAGTAGTGTACTTGATTCTATGACCTCAATTGCCAAGGAGATGCTTGTGCGGCTTGGAGGCAGGAGACTAGAATCTAGGTCTAACGAAGATCTGTCATTTGTACTTGCACGGGCGCTAAGTGAAGTGCTTAGCGCAAGATCGTCCAGCCCGTGGGTCCGGAACCTGTCACGAGGCTTCGTGGCGAACAGTCAGAAAACAACTCAAGCCCCTCACTTGTCCTGGGGTTCTCGATAAGTGGAGCAAAGGTCGTCCGTAACACGCTTCGAGGCGCAAATTTACGCACCGTTTCGACCAAGTGTCACAACTATTTCTGGGGCAAAGGGAGTCCCTACATTGAACCATTTCTGTGCAATGAACCGAAAGTCGTGGCAAGGTTCGCCGCGAAGGTACATCCCCCTTCGCCAAATTTAGAGAACCGACTTTAGATGTATGTTTACAAACCAATGATCCGTACTTTCGCACAAACAGGCCAAGTGTACTATCCACCCCTCAAGTGGAACGCCAACAACGCGGATGCTGAATCTCGGGCAACGGTTCAGGGTTTGATATGAACAGACACACAAGCATCCAACTCGTGACCTATCCCGCCTTTGACGTCAGGTCTCACCTTTTATCTGTGAGCTCCTGTGCGTTTTTAACGCTCCCGTACTTTGTCCAAACGCACCGCTACAATATGGCGTGCCAAATGGCGGCTCACGCGACCGCTGCCTTCGTTATGCCGGCCTCCGCCGCGCCTTTGAACCAACCATCCAGCAGCGTCTCGTTGCCAGCCGCCTTACCCTGCCGCGCACTGTCTTCCCTCAGCTCCACCTCCCCGACTCTTATTTCACTCTCCCGCCAATGTGCGCGCCAGACCTCCCCTTCTATGAGATCTGTTTGCGCTGCTCCCGTCCGTGCGATGGCGGGCGGCGACGGATCTGAGCCGTCCGGGCGCATAATCCGCGGCAAGTGCTTCGTGCTGGAGGACAACATCGACACGGATCAGATCATCCCCGCCGAGTACCTCACGCTCGTGCCGTCCAACCCCGACGAGTACGAGAAGCTCGGCAGCTACGCGCTGGCGGGGCTGCCGGCGAAGCACACGCTGCGGTACGTGCAGAAGGGGCAGACGAAAACGGACTACGCCATCATCATTGGCGGGGCTAACTTCGGCTGCGGGTCGTCGCGCGAGCACGCTCCCGTTGCGCTCGGCGCGGCGGGCTGCCGCGCGGTGGTTGCGGAGTCGTACGCGCGGATTTTCTTCCGCAACTGCGTCGCGACGGGGGAGCTCTACCCGGTTGAAGCGGCGGAGGGGCTTGGCGTGAGGCTGTGCGAGGTGATTAAGTCGGGGGATGAGGTGACTGTAGATCTGGAGCATGATCTGCTGATCCACCACACCACAGGCAAGCAGTACGCACTGAATCCCATTGGGGAAGCCGGGCCTGTGATTGACGCTGGGGGTATTTTCAACTTTGCCCGCCAATCTGGTATGATTGCCAACAAGGCTTGATTCGTTTGTCCGCATTAATGTCGGGGTAGGATGGGTATTGTTATCAGTAGCATTCAACGTACAGGCATGTTCAAGGATGTGAGCAGGAAGCATGTTGTTGAAGTGACTGCAATCCTTTATGCTATGCAGCACCAGTTGTGTCTACCCTTGAGCTGCTTTTCACACTCGAGAGCTACAAAGCTTCGGGAAATGCATGTAGAATGCTGTAGTGATGTACCGTAGTTGGCTCAAGTGACACAGATTTAGCCAAACAGTTTTGAGTACTCTTATGCCTCGGTACTGTTGTTTCATCAGCCTGGTACCTAATAGATCTGATACTGGACAAGGTCTACTCTTCACAAGCTAACCAGCTACTGCCAGGACATATATCCTGCACCTGATCTTGCATCAGCAGCACATCCTCCCAAAAAAACTGCACCACCTGCCTCTACATCTGTGTGACCACTATACTGGACCTGTTCCTTCAACCCTGCACCAGTTCCTATTCCTGTTCCGGTACTTCAGCAGTGCTCCTGCATAACAGAGCCTGCTTTTATTAGCCTACCGTATATTTCCCAGACCAAAACCCAGTCTTCTTGCCTCCTTTCTATTGCGGTACCTGCTATTGCACTCTTCAAGCTTCCCACCTGTTCCTGTATCTTTCTCATTCCTGCACCTGTTCCTGTGTCCTTCCCATTCCTGAACCTGTTCCTGTGTCCTTCCCATTCCTGAACCTGTTCCTGTGTCCTTCCCATTCCTGAACTTGTTCCTGTGTCCTTCCCATTCCTGAACCTGTTCCTGTGTCATTCCCATTCCTAAACCTCTATCATGTTCCAAGCCTTCATCCTTATTCCCAACTCCCCTGAATCCCTGTAACCTGCCCCTGAAACTGAGACATGACCTGCTACCCCTGTTCCCTGACCCTGCATGCTGCACACAAGCAGAACAAAACTCAGCCTGACCGAAACAAAAGCAAACACACATATCCTGTCCTGCTATCCTGCAATCCTGCAAAACAAAAGCCCTGCATCCCAAAAAGCACATGCAAGAGTATGCATAATGCATCACATGAACACAGAAGACCTCAGCACGGCCTGCCATGTTGCCACCCTGCACAGGGGCAAGAGATGAGGGATCTAGAGAAAGCGCCAAAGCAGCACGCAGCACTTAAAGCCCCTTCTCGTCAGCCGATAGGAAAAGTCTCCACATGTCCACATGTAGGAGCTTGGGGTCTTGGAAATGCTGCATGCCTGTGGAATGGCCACACAGACAGATGACGTCACGACGAGAGAATGAGGTGCTGCGCCCACGTGCCCTGCAGACGAGACCCTTAGAAGCTGACTTCAGAGTTGAGGCGCTGCTGCCCTGCAGCTGCGGAAACACCCAAACGAGCACAACAATATGCCACAGCACACACCCTCAACGGGGTGCCCAGTGCGCCGGGCACTTAATACTGCTGCGGATGGTAGTCGCGCCTGTCCCCGCCGCTTCCTGCTCCATACCCATCATACTCGCGCTGCTCATGCTTCACCTGCTGTGGAGGCAGCACCGGAGGTGCACCACCACCACCAGCGCCGTACCCGCCGTCCCTGCCATCCTGGTAACCCCCGTACCCCCCTGGCGCGCCCCTGTAGTCCCCTTGAGGAGGCCCATAGCCCCCCCGCGCGTCAACTGGCGGAGCATAGTCGCGCGGAGGAGCTCCGTCCTGGTAACCACCACCACCACCAGCGCCAGCACCATACGCATCGTAACCCCCCCTGCCGCCGCCGCCACCCCCGCCGCCTCCCCCATACCCGCCGTTGTACCCATCGTACCCTCCCCCGCCTCCCCCCTGGTACCCGCCCCTGTCAGCCCCGGCCCCGCGATCCCCTCCCTCGTACCCTCCGCCTCCCCCTCCGCCAGCAGGCGGCCTGTCGCGCTCCTCCCGCGCGCGGTTCCACTGTTCGATCTTCGCGCGCCGTTCCGCGCTGCCCTCGCGCACGGGGCTTCTGCTGCGGCTGCGCGACCGCCGCCCGCGGCGCCGGTCGTCGTAGCGGCGGTCGTCGTAGCGGTCGCGGCCCCGCCCTCCGCCGCCGTACCCGCCCCCGCGGCCGTAACCCCCGCCGCGACGATCGTCGTAACGGTCGTATCGCCCGCCGCCGCGAGGGGGGCTGCGGCTGCGGCTCCTCCTCCTGTCTCCAAAAAGCTTTCGTCGAAGCTCCCTGAAAGAAACGAAGGATGTGCGAAACGGGGAAAGGAATATCGCGGATGTAGTCGTGTGCACTGATGCGACAACAACCAGCGCAAAAAGACAGAAACAATCCATTCTCTGTGTTGAAGTGGCGCAGCGCATTCAGACGTTTCCAGGAGACGAGGCAAGGGGGAAGCGGAATGTGGAGCGCACCTGCTAATCTTCTTTAGATGCATGAAGTTGCAGTAGCCGCCGCGGTTGCACGTGTTCTCCTCGTACTGGCGACACGTGGCCTCGCGGAAGTCGGTGACGGGCGAGAAGTCCACCAGAATGGGCCGCCCTGCGAGCCCGAGAGCACAACGCGGACGGTAAGGCGGATGGTAAGGAGGGTGGTACGGTACGGCGAATCGTGAGGCAGATCTAAGCGGATTGCAATGCGGATGGTAAGGAACCGGGTGGAAGCCGACGAACAAAGGTGTATAACTCGCGCGTGCGAGCACAAGGGGGACGCGGAAAAAGGCCAAGGAGGAGGGCACGTAAGAATGAGACACCAACCTGCGTAGAATCGGCCGGTGAGGGCTCTGAGTGCCGTGGCTGCCTGCTCCTCCTCGCGGAAGTTGACGTACACGTTGCCCACCTGCTCGCACACCACTCTCCAACACGGTCAGTCGAAACACACGCAATCTCTACTCACGACGCAGCGATCAGCCGAGCGTCGTGTAAAAATAGCATATAAACAAATCAGAACAAGGACAGCAGGAGACGGCGAGCAGGCAGCGTGAGGGGTGGCGAGCAGACCATGTGGTCGGCGAGGTTGTCGCAGACGTTGAGGCTGTTGAGCTCGCCGTACTTGCTGAGCTCCTCGAACAGGTCCTCGTAAAAGTCCTCGAAGTGATCCTGAATCTTCTTCGGATCCATCGTCTTATCCGGCTCGCCGCCTGGTGTCGCCATGTCGGGCCGCTGGTACATGTTGGCCAGGAGAAGCGTCGGACTGATGGTCGGCCTGTCAGCGACAAGGACAAGAAGAAACACACAGAAGAAACGACGGTGCGACAAGAATGAAGCGAGATGGAAAAAGGTTATAGTGGGGCGGAACGGGAGGCACGAGTGGAGGAACGATGCGGTGTGGGAGTGGGTGAGCGGCGGCAAAGGTGTCATAGAGCACCTGTTGTGAAGGCGCGAGCAGCGATCGCCGTGGCGGCACGCGCCGATCTTGAAGTAGAAGGGACAGTTCACCCTGTCCTTCTCCGTGCCGAAGATGGACGCCAGATGTTCTGCCATGGCTGCAAGAAACCTCTCCCACCCCTTCCTTCAAAATTCGACGCTATATGGAAACTAATCCAGGGTCGAGGGACTTATAATAATAGGGCAAGTAGCAGGAGGCGGTGTTGGTGAACAGCTAAACCCGAAGACAGAACTCGGTGACTTGCTGAACCCCCATGACTTGACTATCCCAAGATGCGATAAAAAAGAAGCATCCAGAGCTCCAGCAATTGCTTGTCTCGACTATTTCCGACAACTTGACGACGGCTTGGGCGAAAATATAACTGGAAGTGTTATATCCATGTTACAGCTCTCAGGCAATGAGGGATATTTCAGTTTGTTTATGGGCTTGTCTGTAAACACCCGGATAGACCACGCTCCGTAATTGATGTTCCCCGGATAGCTTATGCGGGGTGGGGGATTAATATCTCCTCGTTTCTGTTATACTCCCCCAAAACCCCCTTCCCCAACCCCCCCTCCCCCAATTTACCTAGGGTTTGGATGTGTATATAATATATTCATGTAAGGTTCTAGTTTGGTATTTATTATAACAAGCATGAATAGCACTTTCTTCAAGGCCCTAAGATGCCGCTCTGGTTACTGGTGCTTTTCGTGCGCAAAGAAAATTTCTATAGACTACGCCTATCTAAGGTTCCCTATACGAGGAAAAGAGGTTGAAATGCTTTTCCAATCTGGCATACACTTAACGAAATCCACTATGGGGAGAAAAAGGGTGTATGTCGTCGTGTGGGAGCGAGAGGGGCGAGTCAAACAGACGGCGGGACCCAAAACTCGCCATTAGAATTGCAAGCTAGATGCAGCAGACTCGAAATCCGCCATAGGTAGGTGCGTGTTCGTCGGATCAAGCAGGTCTCTCGGACGCAGATTACTGGCGAGAGGTGACGTCGTGTAGGAGTCCCGTTACATACCTCTCACTTTATCTTTAAGTAGTAGTTGCACTTCGCTTTATACAAAACTCTCACCAAGCGGTGATGAAGGGTGCGCGCGGTCGCGAGAGCTCGCGCCTGCTGTCGCTACCCGACGAGCTTCTCCACCCCATTATTGCGCGCGTCGACCATCCGCGCGACCGCTGCAGCCTCGCCCTCTCCTGCTCCCACCTCCGCCGCCTCTCCCGCTGCACGACCCACTCGCTCCTCCTCCACTTCTCCGTGAAAGAACATGGCGTCACTGCCCGAGGATGGCTGAAGAACCTCGACGTTTACTCGGGGGTATTTACCCATATAATCAACCTCACGGTGGAGGTTAGTTGCGGCAACCTGGATCATCTTATGGGAGAAATCGGCGCGGGGTGGACGCGACTGGAGAGGCTGAAGCTCGTGTCGGCGCGTGCTCGCTTTCAGATCAGCCCCACGACGTGGAGGAAGTTCGCCTCGCAATGCCCGTGAGTGAGTGAGTGAGTGAGTGAGTGAGTGAACGAGTCAGTGAACGAGTGGTTCTGGTTCCACGCCGCAACGGCTCCTCGTATACTTATTCTTCTCCTTTCGTTCATTCTCTTCTTTATATTTCCAGCAGGTTTGTAATCTGTACGTATTTGCCACACCTTCATGTCAGAATGATATGTTTGTCTAGCCTGCAGTGGGGTACTCTATAGCGAGTACAGCCCGAATTAGGGTTTGCTATATGTACTCAACTGCCTGCTAGTGAAAACCCCTCTTTGCTGTTTCTCGTTTTCGCCTGCTATCTTGACATGCTATCAGAGCAGGTCGACCCTCCTGGGTCGATCCTGTGGGTGGTCCCGCCCGATGCTTCCGCTGCTGTCTTGTGTGTCGCGCGCCCCGTGGCGCGCGACGTTTTTTCTTCCCGCCACGCGCTCGGGGTGCCTGGCGGTTTTCTGCTCGTCGCGCGCACGAATTGCGCGGCGGTTTTCTGCCCGCCGTGCGCCCCGAGGCGCGCGGCGGTTTCCTACCCCGTCGACCCGCGCGTCGCCCCCCGTCGACCGTCGAAGCGCCCCCCGTCGCCCGTCGATGCGCCCCTGGGCCCCGCGCGGGCCGCGGGCGGCCCGTACGACCTGCGCCAGGCCCGCGCGCGGCCCGTACGGGCTGCGCCAGGCCCGCGCGCGGCCCGTACGGGCTGCGCCAGGCCCGCGCGCGGCCCGTACAGCCTGCGCGCGGCCCGTACGGCCTGCGCCAGGCCCGCGCGCGGCCCGTACGGGCTGCGCCAGGCCCGCGTGCGGCCTGTACGGGCTGCGCCAGGTCCGCGCGCGGCTCGGGCGGCCCGCGCGCGGTTCGTTCGGCCTGCGCACGCCGTCCCCCGAGCTGCTGACCGCGCCCCACCCCTGCTGCTGCCCGCGCTCCTGTTTTAGGGTTTGGGGGTGGAGAGTATGGGGGTGCCGTGTGTGTGAGCCGTCCCCTGCTCCTCCTCCTCCTCCTCCGTCTCCCACTGCTGCAGCTGCCGCTGAGGGGGGTGGATGTGTTGGAGCCGTCGGAGTTGTACGAGGGGGGTGGCGTGTGAGCAGTGCTAGAGGTGCAGCAGGGGGTGTGTGACACGGGTGTGGGACAGCTGGGGGAAGTTGAGTGGAGGCAGTCGTCTTGTCGTCCGCAGCGCCTGAAGTCCAGAGAGCCACGACCCCCTGTGGCCTGAGTAGTCCGGGGCTCTGCGCCCGGTAGCCACAGTGTGAGCACTCCTGGTAGTCCAGAGAGCCACGACCCCCTGTGGCCTGAGTAGTCCGGGGCTCTGCGCCCGGTAGCCACAGTGTGAGCACTCCTGTGAGCACAGAGAGCCAGCTGCGTCTGTCGCCGTGTAGTCCGAGTTTAGCCTGGTAGCGACAGTTCTGCGCACTCCTGTTGCCCGTGTGTCTGCAGCTTCAGCCGTCGCCTCCCATCTTCTCGCCCCGCAGTTTCTCCTCCTCCTGACTTGCCCTCTGTGACAGTCTCTAGCTTTGCTTATATTTGTGAACTACTGCTTTGCCTGCTTGTTGTGTTGATTGTACCCCACTTTGACCATGGGGGTGTGTCAGAATGATATGTTTGTCTAGCCTGCAGTGGGGTACTCTATAGCGAGTACAGCCCGAATTAGGGTTTGCTATATGTACTCAACTGCCTGCTAGTGAAAACCCCTCTTTGCTGTTTCTCGTTTTCGCCTGCTATCTTGACACTTCATTCGCCACACACTCATTCGCCACACCCTCATTCGCAAAACACTCATTCGCCACAGCCTCATTTGCCACACACTCATTCGCCACACCTCATTCGCCACACACTCATTCGCCACACCCTCATTCGTCACACACCCTCATTCGCCACACACTCATTCGCCACACCCTCATTCGCCACACACTCATTCGCCATACACTCATTCGCCACACCCTCATTCGCCACACACTCATTCGCCACACCCTCATTCGCCACACCCTCATTCGCCACACACTCATTCGTCACACCCTCATTCGCCACACCCTCATTCGCCACAACCCTCATTCGCCACACACCCTCATTCGCCACACCCTCATTCGCCACACCCTCATTCGCCACACCCTCATTTGCCACACCCTCATTCGCCACAACCCTCATTCAAAAACACCGGTAGCCTGTACGCCTGCATTCGCCACACAATCATATCCCCCTACACCCCGCTTCCCCCAATCTCTGTGCCCCCACCTCGTCCGCCTCCTCACCTTGTCCGCCTCCTCACCTCGTCCGCCTCCTCTCCTCGTCCGCCTCCTCACCTCGTCCGCCTCCTCACCTCGTCCGCCTCCTTTCCCCGTGCGCCTCCTCTCCTCGTGCGCCTCCTCTCCCCCGTGCATCAATTGTTGGAGTAGGCTAGAGCTCGCTCTGGCCTTTATTCTGGTGTTCTTATATTATTTCGCCAGGCTTAGAGAGAGTTACGCATCCATTTTCATTTTAGGTTCATTTCATAGCTTTTAGTACAAACCGAACACGCCCTAGGTTCAACTAGGGTTTCCAAACTTCTCTCTTTTGTACCTCGACATTTTCTTTCTAGTTCAACTACTTCTACCTCACCAAAACTTCTCGCCATCCATGGCTACTACTAATTTAACATGGTATTCAGAGCCTAGTCCTAGGCGTTTCCGTTTTTATCCGCATCTCTTAGAAATTTTCTGGCCCTTAGGCCATTTCCGCGCTACTTAGCTAGACGATTTTCTGTTCGTTCTATTTTCTCGTTTCTTTAGAGTAACTCTTAGCATCCTCACGATTTTCTTCACTTTAGTCACGCGGGTGCTCTATTCCGCTCCGTAGCGCGCCTCCTTACCGTTGAAATCGCTCTCCTGCGCCTTCTCCCTTCGTCGCGCCTCCTCCTCCTCACGTTCCCGGCGGTAGCGCGCTGATTTCTGCCCGTAGCGCGCTTAGCCCCCCCCCCCCCCCCCCCCCCCCCCCCCCCCCCCTCCTCGCCCTCCCGTCTCGTCGCGCGCGCATTGCGCTGCCGTCGCCGCGCGCGCTTCGCTTCGTCGAGCAGCGCGCTCGCCTGCCTCCCTTGCGGCGCGCCCTGCCCTTTCCCAATCCGCCCCCCCCCTTCCTCACCCTCCTCCTCCTTCCCTCTCTCCTTTGTGCATCCCTCACTATCTCTTCCTCCTCTTTTTTCTCCTCAGATACTGCAGCTCATATTACTTGTGGCGCTTCCCTCCCACAAATCCGCCCCTTCACCATCCTCCTCCTCTCCTCTCTCCCTCCAAATCCCCCTCCACTCTTTCACCTCCCTTTTTTTTCCTCCACCTCTTTTCTCTTCTCATCTGCCGCAGCTGGTTGCTGATTGCGTTTTTTTGGAAGTTGTAGCTCCTCCACACCTTTCCTCCTCCTCCGTACCCTCCCCTCAACTGCTCAACTCCGAACTCCTTCCCAACTCTCCCTCCTCCTCTTGTTTCTCCCTTAAGCGGCCCAGCAGCTGACTACCTCGCCGCTATCCCTCCTCCTCTTATTTCTCCCCTCAGCGGCGCAGCAGCAGACTACTCCGCCACTATCCCTCCTCCTCTGGTTTCTCCGCTCTGCGGCGCAGCAGCAGACTACTCCGCCACTATCCCTCCTCCTCTAGTTTCTCCCCTCAGCGGCGCTGCAGCAGACTACTCCGCCACCCTCTAGTTTCTCCCCTCAGCGGCTCAGCAGCAGACTACTCCATCAATATCCCTCCTCCTCTTGTTTCTCCCCTCAGCGGCTCAGCACCGGAATGCTTCGCCCTTATTCCCCCGCCTCTTATACCTCTCCCCTCATCTGCTCTGCAGCTGTCTCCTCCTCCTTATGGCGACTTCTCTCGCCCTCCCCTCCCTCCCTCTGCTGGTCCTTCAGCTCGCGCCTGATGGCAGCGCAGTCAACTTCCCCAGTTGGCTGAACTGTCTTGAGCGCACGCTGTCTGGCACCCTCGTGAGTGGCTTTAACCTCTGGTTTGTCACTCAGCAGAGTGGTTCTGGCGCCATTCTTAAACCTGCCTCTGCACCTACCTCTACCTCCCCTGACCCCTACGCTGATGGCCTTCGTGCTGCTATCGCTGAAACTGAGCGGATTGCAGCCACGGCCCAAGCCACTGCTGCGGCTGCTCCTGACAATGCTGCAGCCCGTGTCCTCGCTCGTGTTCTTGCTGAGTCCCTCGAGAGCACCCGCAAGCGCCTCTCTGAGCATCTCGCTACCCCTTCTCCTCGCTCTGCCCCCACACCCTCTGCTTCTGCTCCATCTCACTCTGACCTTCTCGCTGACTGGCATGTTGCCAACGCACGTGCCTGCCAGGTCATCCTTGCCTGCCTACCTCCAACCCTTCTCCCTCAGTGCTCGCACATCCGCTATGCCAAGGACCTTCTCGGCTATCTTACTGAGCGCTTCCAGTCGCAGACTCCCATCAGTGTCATTGCCCTCTTACATGAGCTCACCTCTCTTCGCCTTGCTGACTTCACCACCATGGCGGACTACATCGCTCGTGTGCAGACGCTGTCCTCCCAACTTGCTGCTCAAAAGTTCGAACTTTCCGATCATGTCTGCGGTGCCCTCCTCCTCACAGGCCTCACTCCTGAATACAGTGTTCATGTCACCCTGTATGGTGAGCGCCCCGCCGACCAGTGGTCGTTCTCTCGTGTCTCTGCCTTCCTCCTCCAGGCAGAGCTCAACCTCCGCAGCTGCCCTCCTACTGCCGCCGCTGTCGCACCCTCTTCCGCCCCCCCCTCCTCTCCCCACCACTGCCGCTGCTGCTTCCTCTCGCCCTCGCAACACCTTTCCTCCTTGCACCTACATCATTCGCCAGGGGCCCCGCAAGGGTCAGCCCTGCGGTCGCACCAATCATCCTGCCTCCTCCTGCTTCCAGAAGCTCACCGATGACTGGTTCCTGGCTGGCAACACTGGTCGCCCTCCCAACTGGCTTCACCTCTCTCATCAGCGCCGCCAGTCTTCTGCCCAGGCAGTACTTGTGGCTGCCAACTCTGGTGCCAGTACTCAAACCTCTGCTCTCAGTGTGACTATGCCTAGTCAGGATAGCATTCTAGGAGCTTCTCCCCTTATGGACCCTCGTTTTGCCATGATGTTTGCTCCTTCTGTTAATGGCAATGATTCTCAGTATCTTGGTCCCACAGCTGCTGCTCTTTCCCTCCCTCGCACTCTTGAGTTTGTTCTTGACAGTGGTGCTACTGACTCTGTTTTTCGTGACGCTGGTGTGCTTCGCTCTTTTCCCCATCCCCTCTCCATTCAAGGGGCTGGGGATACCATGACCATGACTTGCACTGCTACCTCCTCTCTCCCCTGTCCTGCCTCCCCCTCTGGTGCTGTGACTGGCCTCTATGTTCCTTCCTGCCGCCACAACTTTCTTTCTCTCTCTGCTCTTCAGCGTCTTTGTATGCGAGCTATCTTTCCTGAATGCGACTCTTACTGTGATCTCTATCATCGCAACCGCCATCTTGCACGCTTTACTCTCTCCCCTATCACTCGCCTCTACACTCTTCGTGTCTCTCTCCCCTCTTCTGCCCAACATGCCTCTTCCGCTTCCGCCCCTCCCGTTTCTTCTTGCAATTGTCGTTCTCTCACTCAACCTACCCTCCTCCTCCATCATCGACTTGGCCACCCCAATTTTCCCCTCTCTTCACTGGTCTGATTTCGATCAGCTGCCGTCTGTTCCCCCCTCCTCCCCCCCCCCCCTCCCCCCCCCCCCCCCCCCCCCCCCATCCCGCCCCTTCCCGCCCCTCCCCCCCAGCCTCTACAGCCCCCCCTTCCGACATCATCTCTGGTGCCTCTCCATCCGCCTCTTCCTCTTCGGCTCCCCTCCCTTCCTCACTTCCATCTTCCTCTCCACCTCCTTCGCCTGTTCGCATTCCCTCCCCTTCCCCGCGCCTTACTCGCTCCATGACTCGCGCACTTTCTAATTTTCAGCACTCAGCGCTTTTCACTCGTCTTTCTCCATCCCGGAATGTTAATCTTCTTGAAGATCGCTTTGAGGAGCTCTTCAACATTCATCCTGTTTCTCCTCTTCTGTGTGTCACCGTCGGTGACTTTAGCAATTCTCCCACTCTTCTTTCTGTTGACACCGCTGCCATTCCCACCCCTCTGTCCTACTCCGAGGCTGTGTCGGGCTTTCATGCCACTGAGTGGATGGCTGCCATCATTGCTGAGTGTGAGGCATTTACCAGAACTAATTCCTACATTGACTCTGTCCCCCCCCCTGGTGCCACCATTGTCAAAGGCAAATGGGTTTTCCGTGTCAAGCAGATGCCTGGCGAACTTCCTGTCTTCAAGGCCCGCTACTGTGCCAAGGGCTTCACTCAGCGTGAAGGCATTGACTTTTTTGCCACTTACTCCCCCACAGCCCGTCTCCCCACTCTTCTCCTCCTCCTTGACTTAGATGCTCGCTGGAATTGGGAGATCCATTCCATGGACGTTTCCAATGCTTTCCTCCAAGGCGAGTTGCATGAGCGCATATTCCTTGAGCGCCCCGCTGGCTTTCCTCGCCCTTTCCCTCCAGGCATTGTTTGGGAATTAAAACGACCCGTGTATGGCCTTAAACAGGCCCCGCGCGAGTGGCACGCCAAGCTCGCCTCCACCCTTCACTCTCTTGGCTTCTCTACCTCCACTTCCGACCCCAGTCTTTTCATTCGCACATCCCCCCACAGGCTTTACATCCTTGCTTATGTGGACGATTTGGTGCTGCTTGCTGAGGACTCCGCCGATCTTGCAGCTGTCAAGAAAGCCCTGCAGGCGCGTCTCATGTGCAAGGATCTTGGCGAGCTTCATCACTATCTCGGGATGGAGATCCGCCGTGATCGTGCTGCCCGCACCATCTCACTCTCCCAGTCTTTCTACATCCAGTCTATCCTCCAGCGGTTCGAGATGTCGCAGGCCAAGCCAATCTCCACCCCTCTTCCCGCTAACCATCAGCTTACTGCCCCTGCCGTCCCTGCTCCCTCTTCTGAGCTGCGGCCTTATCCTGAGCTCGTTGGATCTCTCATGTATGCTATGATGTGCACTCGCCCCGACCTTGCTTACCCCCTCAGTGTTCTCTCTCGCTTTGTCGGTCTAAGCCGCCACACTGACGTGCACTGGGCGGCTGCTAAGCGCGTCCTGCGCTATCTGCGCGCCACCTCTGACCTTGCTCTCACTCTTGGTGGCTCTATTCCTCCCGTTCTCTCCGGCTACAGTGACTCTTCCTACGCTGACTCTCGCCCTGATCGTCGCTCATCTCAGGGCTATGGTTTTACTCTTGGCAGTGGTCTCATCAGCTGGCGCTCCACTCGCTCATCCTCTGTCTGCCTTCCCACTTGCGAGGCTGAGTTGTACGCAGGCACCTTAGCAGCTCAGGAAGCTCGCTGGCTCTCCTTTCTCCTTGCTGAGCTTGGTCACTCTCAGTCCTCTGTGACCCTCTCCTGTGACAATGCGAGTATGATTCATCTCACTGAAAATCCTGTCTATCACGCCCGCAGCAAGCATATTGAGGTCCGCTATTTCTTCGTGCGCGAGCTGGTGCAGTCTGGCTTCTTACGCCTTCGCAAGGTGGACGCTACTGCCAACCTTGCTGACATTTTCACCAAGGCCCTCCTGCGTGCGCCACACCGTTTCTACGTGCGCGAGCTTGGGCTCACGCGTCTCTCCACTTCTGGGGGTGTGCCGGTTCGCTAGGTGTTTTGCTCCAGAGCTTCACCTAGCCTGGGGGTGTGTTGGAGTAGGCTAGAGCTCGCTCTGGCCTTTATTCTGGTGTTCTTATACTATTTCGCTAGGCTTAGAGAGAGTTACGCATCCAGGTTCATTTTAGGTTCATTTCGTAGCTTTTAGTACAAACCGAACGCACCCTAGGTTCAACTAGGGTTTCCAAACTTCTCTCTTTTGTACCTCGACATTTTCTTTCTAGTTCAACTACTTCTACCTCACCAAAACCTCTCGCCATCCATGGCTACTACTAATTTAAAACCCAGGGTCCACAGGTTTCAAAGGTAGGAAGGTTGGTTGGACTTTGTGCCAAAACCAAAGGTAGGAAGCTTGGTTGGACCTTGTAACCCAACCAAAGGTAGGAAGGATGAGGCAACTTCGGGAAACTTGAGACCCCGGTTTTAACATCAATCAGCCTCATGACGTCACTGAAGCTCGACTGCCACTACGCCTACGCCGACCCTCTGCCTCCCCCAGTGCACACCTTCCCCTCACTGCGCTCCCTCTCTCTCCTCTTCGTGCCCGCGCACTACCAATTCATCTCCCTCTGCTCCTCGCTCACCTCGCTCGCCCTCTGGCATCCCGACGCCTTCGCCCTCCACTCCCTCGCATCCGCCTCCTCTCCGCTCCGCCGCTCCCTCGCTTCCCTCACCATCCACAACGCCCGGCTGGAAGCTGCCCTCACGCCCCTCGCTTCCCTCCCTCGCCTCGCCTCTCTCTCCTTCCTCTCCTGCACCATCGACCCTTGCGACCTGCACGCGCTCTCTCGCTCGCTGCACACGCTCAATTATCTGGCAGTCCATGACTGCCCCATGATTCCCAGCCACTCCCTCGCGGCGCTCGCTGAAAGCAACCCCGCACTCACCTCCCTCTCACTCTCTCCGGGCTGCCCTCGTACCGCCCAGGCATGCTTGTACGCTGCAGCAGCCTGCTGACGCTGAAAGGAAGGGAGGTGGCAAGGGGGATTATCATGACGTGTGAGTCGCCACAGAAGCCGTCTCTGGACTGCATTGTGGCCTTGCTGGTGCTCGTTGAGCAGCTGGGGGTTCCTGAAGGACCGAGGGGAGGGGACGGTGGAGTGGGGAGATGGGAAGGGGCGATGGTTGTGGAGAATGAAGGGCGAGGAAGCATCGCTGCTTCCCCTGCAGCACAGCAGCAGCAGCAGCAGCAGCAGCAGCAGCAGCAGCAGCAGCAGCAGCAGCAGCAGCAGCAGCAGCAGCAGCAGCAGCAGCAGCAGCAGCAGCAGCAGCAGCAGCAGCAGCAGCAGCAGCAGCAGCAGCAGCAGCAGCAGCAGCAGCAGCAGCAGCAGCAGCAGCAGCAGCAGCAGCAGCAGCAGCAGCAGCAGCAGCAGCAGCAGCAGCAGCAGCAGCAGCAGCAGCAGCAGCAGCAGCAGCAGCAGCAGCAGCAGCAGCAGCAGCAGCAGCAGCAGCAGCAGCAGCAGCAGCAGCAGCAGCAGCAGCAGCAGCAGCAGCAGCAGCAGCAGCAGCAGCAGCAGCAGCAGCAGCAGCAGCAGCAGCAGCAGCAGCAGCAGCAGCAGCAGCAGCAGCAGCAGCAGCAGCAGCAGCAGCAGCAGCAGCAGCAGCAGCAGCAGCAGCAGCAGCAGCAGCAGCAGCAGCAGCAGCAGCAGCAGCAGCAGCAGCAGCAGCAGCAGCAGCAGCAGCAGCAGCAGCAGCAGCAGCAGCAGCAGCAGCAGCAGCAGCAGCAGCAGCAGCAGCAGCAGCAGCAGCAGCAGCAGCAGCAGCAGCAGCAGCAGCAGCAGCAGCAGCAGCAGCAGCAGCAGCAGCAGCAGCAGCAGCAGCAGCAGCAGCAGCAGCAGCAGCAGCAGCAGCAGCAGCAGCAGCAGCAGCAGCAGCAGCAGCAGCAGCAGCAGCAGCAGCAGCAGCAGCAGCAGCAGCAGCAGCAGCAGCAGCAGCAGCAGCAGCAGCAGCAGCAGCAGCAGCAGCAGCAGCAGCAGCAGCAGCAGCAGCAGCAGCAGCAGCAGCAGCAGCAGCAGCAGCAGCAGCAGCAGCAGCAGCAGCAGCAGCAGCAGCAGCAGCAGCAGCAGCAGCAGCAGCAGCAGCAGCAGCAGCAGCAGCAGCAGCAGCAGCAGCAGCAGCAGCAGCAGCAGCAGCAGCAGCAGCAGCAGCAGCAGCAGCAGCAGCAGCAGCAGCAGCAGCAGCAGCAGCAGCAGCAGCAGCAGCAGCAGCAGCAGCAGCAGCAGCAGCAGCAGCAGCAGCAGCAGCAGCAGCAGCAGCAGCAGCAGCAGCAGCAGCAGCAGCAGCAGCAGCAGCAGCAGCAGCAGCAGCAGCAGCAGCAGCAGCAGCAGCAGCAGCAGCAGCAGCAGCAGCAGCAGCAGCAGCAGCAGCAGCAGCAGCAGCAGCAGCAGCAGCAGCAGCAGCAGCAGCAGCAGCAGCAGCAGCAGCAGCAGCAGCAGCAGCAGCAGCAGCAGCAGCAGCAGCAGCAGCAGCAGCAGCAGCAGCAGCAGCAGCAGCAGCAGCAGCAGCAGCAGCAGCAGCAGCAGCAGCAGCAGCAGCAGCAGCAGCAGCAGCAGCAGCAGCAGCAGCAGCAGCAGCAGCAGCAGCAGCAGCAGCAGCAGCAGCAGCAGCAGCAGCAGCAGCAGCAGCAGCAGCAGCAGCAGCAGCAGCAGCAGCAGCAGCAGCAGCAGCAGCAGCAGCAGCACAGCAGCAGCAGCAGCAGCAGCAGCAGCAGCAGCAGCAGCAGCAGCAGCAGCAGCAGCAGCAGCAGCAGCAGCAGCAGCAGCAGCAGCAGCAGCAGCAGCAGCAGCAGCAGCAGCAGCAGCAGCAGCAGCAGCAGCAGCAGCAGCAGCAGCAGCAGCAGCAGCAGCAGCAGCAGCAGCAGCAGCAGCAGCAGCAGCAGCAGCAGCAGCAGCAGCAGCAGCAGCAGCAGCAGCAGCAGCAGCAGCAGCAGCAGCAGCAGCAGCAGCAGCAGCAGCAGCAGCAGCAGCAGCAGCAGCAGCAGCAGCAGCAGCAGCAGCAGCAGCAGCAGCAGCAGCAGCAGCAGCAGCAGCAGCAGCAGCAGCAGCAGCAGCAGCAGCAGCAGCAGCAGCAGCAGCAGCAGCAGCAGCAGCAGCAGCAGCAGCAGCAGCAGCAGCAGCAGCAGCAGCAGCAGCAGCAGCAGCAGCAGCAGCAGCAGCAGCAGCAGCAGCAGCAGCAGCAGCAGCAGCAGCAGCAGCAGCAGCAGCAGCAGCAGCAGCAGCAGCAGCAGCAGCAGCAGCAGCAGCAGCAGCAGCAGCAGCAGCAGCAGCAGCAGCAGCAGCAGCAGCAGCAGCAGCAGCAGCAGCAGCAGCAGCAGCAGCAGCAGCAGCAGCAGCAGCAGCAGCAGCAGCAGCAGCAGCAGCAGCAGCAGCAGCAGCAGCAGCAGCACAGCAGCAGCAGCAGCAGCAGCAGCAGCAGCAGCAGCAGCAGCAGCAGCAGCAGCAGCAGCAGCAGCAGCAGCAGCAGCAGCAGCAGCAGCAGCAGCAGCAGCAGCAGCAGCAGCAGCAGCAGCAGCAGCAGCAGCAGCAGCAGCAGCAGCAGCAGCAGCAGCAGCAGCAGCAGCAGCAGCAGCAGCACAGCAGCAGCAGCAGCAGCAGCAGCAGCAGCAGCAGCAGCAGCAGCAGCAGCAGCAGCAGCAGCAGCAGCAGCAGCAGCAGCAGAGGAGCAGCAGCAGCAGCAGCAGCAGCAGCAGCAGCAGCAGGGGAAGAAGATGCAGGAGATGAGTACGAGGCAATGATGGTTGAAGCAGAGGAGGGCGACAAAACGGTATCACCTGCAGCAGCTGCCACGCCGGTGGCTGCACGCGAAGGGATGAGTGGCAGGGGCAACAGCAGGAGGCGAAGGTACTTCGATTTGCGCATGGAAGCAGCAGCAGGGCGCGCTGAATTTGTGGCAGCATTGGACAACTAGATGGCGCTGACCGAGACATCCAAGTGGAAGCTCAAGAAGGCGGCCACAGAGGCGCTGCGCTGGCGCCGCTTGCACCACGGGGCGTGGGCCCTCGATCACATCTACCAGGCTGTCGTTCAGGTGCGCTCCACCATCCTGCTATGCCACTGCGTGCGGCTGGCTAAGGCCGAAATGAAAGGCAGGGGTGCACGCAAGGAGGCACTTGCGAAGGCCTGCCGTGCTGCCAAGGCTGCAGGCATCTTCACTGCTGCTGTGGAAGAGGAAGGGCAGGTGGAAGCGGAGGTGGAGCTGGAGTGGGACGCGGAGGGGAGGGGAGGAGAAGGGGTTGATGCAGAGGAGGTGGTGCGATACATGCCCGAGGATGACCTGGAAGATGATCTGGCGGCCGTGAGTGAGAAGCTGCTGGCGTGGGTGGCGGTGCCGCGGGCAGTCGCACGGGAGCTGCTGCGTGCGCTGATGGAGGTGCTGCTGCTGGAGATGGAGGACATGGGTGCTCGCTTTGAGATCAGTGATCCTGCACTGCCGCACCCCGCAATACTGCCCGGACTGGCAATCGTTCCCGCGCTGGCAGCACTGCCTGGGGTAGTGGCAGGAGAGTTGGTCACTGCAGCAGCGGGAGCTGGGGCAGCGGCAGCGGTTCCTGGGCTGGCAGTGCAAGGCGCAGCAGAAAGGGAAGCGGCAGAATGGGGAGCAGCAGAAGGGGCAGCAGCAGAAGTGGCAACAGCAGAAGGGATAGCAGCAGAAGTGGCAGCAGCAGAAGGGACAGCGGCAGAAGGGGCAGCATTAGAAAGGGTAGCAGCAGAAGGGGCAGCAGCAGAAAGGGAAGCAGCAGAAGGGACAGCGGCAGAAGGGGCAGCGGCAGAAGGGGCAGCGGCAGAAGGGACAGCGGCAAAAGGGGCAGCAGCAGAAGGGAAAGCGGCAGAAGGGACAGTAGCAGAAGGGACAGTGGCACAGAAGCCGAGAAGCGCAGCAGGAGAAGCAAGAGGGGATGTAAGAGAGGACGTGAGAGCAGCAGGAGCATCAGATCAGCTGCCAAGGGCCAAGCAACTGGGCGGCAGAAGCGCAACCCGCCCACCTCCACAGGGGAGTACACTCCGCAAGAAGGGCACAGCTTCAAAGACAAGCACACTGGCGACGCCTGTGGAGGTGGTCTGCCCTCAATTGGAGTCGCTAACCCTTGACACCATTTGCTTCGTCTCCATTTGTGACCCTTCCGGGCTACCCTCTCTCCCCTCTGCCTCTCCCCTCATGCGCCCCTCTCCCCCCACCACACCCTTCCCTTTCCTCCTTCATCGTCCTCCCCCTCCTCCACTATCCCAAGTCTGAGCAGCGAGCCACAGTCCTTTGAATCGTTAGCACGAGCTGCTGTCTGTAGAAAACTCAAAAGCTTGGCTCTCCTGAACTGCTGTGGGCTGGAGGAGGGGCAGCTGGTGGAGCTGATGCGAGCATGTGGCATTCTGAAGGATCTAAGGGTGGAAGGCTGTGATGGCTTCTCAGACAGCGTGATTGCACGGAGTAAACTGGAGGTGTTAAACTCGGTTGAGTGTGGTGCGGTGTGGTGGAATCACTCCAGACGCTATTGGCAGGCTGCTGGGCAACGTGCCAAGACTGCAATATCTGGAAGTGGAGGAGGACAAGGTTTCTGAAAGGGCTCGCCGGGAGTTGCTTCGTGGTGGAGTGGTTGTTAGGGGAGGGTGAATCTGCTTGATAATTGATGCTCTTCAAGCTTGCTTGTTTCTCGCGCATTCAAACATGTCTTACGGTATTAGTGAATGTATACGGCAATGCATTCTTCAGGTGAGTTGTTGCAAGGAAATTTTTTTTTTTGGGTTGCGAAGCAACCTATTACAATCGTTATGTTCATTTTTTTTTTTCATCCTCTTTACTAAAAAAAAAAAAGGATAAGGTAACTAAGTGACTGACTGCCATGTCTTTGCCATGGCAATTTAGTATGCGCCGTACCACATTTCTTCTCATTTCTTGGTTCGCCTTGACCGAACCTATACTCTATGGGTTGCTAAAATGATGTTCCTGTGAACGCGTGACTGTTTATTCCGTAATGCATAAGCCGGATGATGTTACGGTATGCATAGATGAAGTATAATGATGGATATGGTGAAAAAAATATTTAATGGAAAAATGCATAATTATGTTGCATATACTACTGTGGTAATGAAATGAATGCATATCATGATAAAAATGCGTCACAGTTAATTGACACAGACCCTATGCTACGGCATCCCCTGCCTAGCATGGGGGGGAGCTCAATAGCATAGTTCCTGAGTCATCCAACTGTCACATGAAACAACACAATCTGTGCGAAGTAAAAAAAAGGTCAATTCTATCAAATCCAGTTCAAATGAACACACTCACTGAGTGGGCAAAGAACCTTCTCGGAAATGATAGTTTGATCCAATTTTTTAAAACCCACAGACATGTGTTATTAATGCAATGGAAGCATGAATGAAAACACATACGCACACAACACAATGCAAACACACACGCACATAGACAGATACAAAGACATGCACATGATCACACATATTCACACAAACGAAAAACGCTCAATGCATCAACTGTTAAAAAATAATAATAAAAAACTAAAAGCAGAATTAAACCCTAGCCATATACATATAATCCTACACGGAACCATCTTATCTTTGCTTTGCACCGTCCAAAAAAACCTTCACTTCCTGAAGAAAACAACAAGGGAAAGAATCAACAATAGAAAGAAAGAAAGACAAATATGGAACAATGAGGATAAGGTGCAAAATTGTACAACAGAAACGCAAAGAATCCTAGCAATGACACAATACATTATAATTTTGCTATTCACGTGCTGAACTGATTTGATACATCCAATTTCCATTAAAAAAAAAAAAAGAACCAGTTAGTTAACATGGATACAAGAATCAGATAACAAACATGCTGAAAGAAGCATATGGAAAGAGGTGAAACAGAAAATAAAAAGGATCAGAGAAACAAGAGAAAATAGAGGAGCAAGGAAACTAGGTGCAACAGAAACAAAAAAACTACAAAAGAAGAAAGGGAACAAATAATTAAGAAACCGATCTAAGAATGAAGAGCCCAATAAGAGGACCGCTCAAAACTATAAACGAGTGCTGGTTAACAAAGAACCTATAACGTAGAATAAACCAATTCAAGAAAAACATTGTTGAAACGGAAACGAGATGCAACGGAAACAAACAGAAGTTCATGTCTAATGAACAAGGATAAAGTTCAGACTAATACGGAAAGAGGAACGGATAAGAGAAACACGAGAGGCGAAATACAAATACTAAAAAAACAACAACAAAAAAACAAAACAAAAATATCAATAGAGCGAACTCACCTAGCTACGATTAGATCGTGCATAGTTGAAAGGGGACGCCCGTTGAATGTGTACCTCATGACTGAATGGAATGAAAGCTGAAGGGCAAGGGTATATAGAGCTCAGAAACGAAATGGAGAAGGCACGTATGGGTGGTGGCAATAAATAAGGAGCACAAGACAAGAACTAAAACGTGAAGGTTAAGTATTCAAATCTACATAGAAAGAACAAAAGAGGAAATGAAGTGAGAATGTCAAATAACATATGCAACTACAAGGTGATAAGGATGCGACGGAAGGAAAAGGACGATGAGGAACTAAAGAACGCATGCAGGCTTATAAACGACTTAAAGCTTAAGTACTTGAAACAAGTCTAGAACCTAACCTTTAAAAACCTGGATCCTTTAAAATGACCAAGAATTGAGTAAACGACTACGATACGATAATAAGAAATGATAGGCTAGCTCTTAATCTCCTAACTTAGTTCTATACAGGCTAGCTCTTAATCACCTAACTTAGGTTGATCTCACCTTGCATCTGCAGGTGGAGTAGCGTGACTGGCGGGGGTGGTTCAACTAGCGAGGGAGAAAGGAAAGGGTTGAACTAACCCTAATGCAATGCCAAATTCGTCGCAAAATAACGGTCCTGTAAAATACGATACGCTCGTTAAGCAGCAGCGTTTTCCCAGTCGGTTGAAACTTTGCTGAGAATCGAAAGGTCGAGGGTTCGATTCCAACTCCAGGACAGATTCGAACTTTTTAGGAAAGATGATGCACCACTTTGTACCACGCTACTATGGTTTCATACTACACTACAATGAGAAAGTTTCATACCAATTTGCTTCGCAACCCTAGGACGACCTAGTCGCCTCTTGTTTTCCTTACCGAGGTTGAGTGCTACGCGTACAACCCCGACATTTCGGTATTTGCACGTTCAGCCTGTTGGAAACAATTGATTTAAAGCGCCTCTGTCGTGTCGAAACACCAAGACACAAGCGAAGCGAAACATATCGAAGCATCGGCTGTCAAGATTACGAGACTGGAATGATTGAACTAACAGAGAAATCAGTACAAATAGCTAACCCTAGAATTGTGTACCCCATACAGGCTAACCCACTGTAGCCTAACAAACCAAACATATATAATGTTTGACACACCCCCATAGGCAAAGTGGGGGAGACCTAGGGGTCACAAGACCAGTCAAGGCAAAGTAAGGCAAACAAGCTCAGGGTGGATCTCGAGGATTCCACACAAATTCCGAGCACAAACAAGCGGTCACAAGACCAGTTCACATGCAGGTTTATAATAGAGCAAGACGTACAATGATCACAACCTAGCAAGAGTAAACATGCAGGTATATAAATATATAGTGATCACAGTACAGGCAAAGTCAAGAAGTGAGCAAGTGAGGGCCAGTAGGCACAAGGCCTAACAGAGTACAGAAGCGCTGATGGTCACAAGGCTGGAGTGCCTTGGTGAACACATCAGCAGTGTTGGC